ATTACTCAAACAGGCAGTAAAATTTGCTCACTTGGAGGGCCTAGTGTCAAAGCAGAATTCATTGATTTCTTACCCATCTGATCAAGATCAAATCCAAGAGAAACGATGAACGAACTGTAGGAGTATCTTACGTAATGCGAGCCTATAACTTTACTGATAGTGGTTGCGAATTCAGTGCTGCTGCCACGTTTACCAGAATAAGAGAACGGCAACTATTCCAAATGACGTATACGATATTGAGAATGATAGCTTCGACGATGACATCGACGATTTTCTTAGCTCGGCTCAGCTTTCGTTGAATATTTTTATGCTATTTGAACAATAAAATTTTACCATGGCTGTGAGTGTTACAAGATAAACAATGAGTGCTGATTTTGATTTACTACTTCATAAGGTGATAATTGTGTAAAAGTACTAGACTGTTCTACATGCATGTCATTTGGAATTTTATCAAGAAAATATTAATACAAGGTGTTACTTTATTTCCTCACTTACGTACAACCTTACGTTTCAGCGGATTTCGCCTTTCACAGAGCCTGGATAGGTCAAGTTTACTACAATCTACACGGCCAAACACCTCCATAACCAAACAGAGAATATGCTGAACCAAAATTTCAATCACATTGAACCCAGAGTCTTTGCACACTCACCGCTTTCTACGAGTCTTCCAATAAATATGTCACGTGGAGATCAACCCCACAGAGCTCACACGGAATCGTATTGTGCATATCTCATCAAAATAATAGACTTATATTGCCCAATATCACGCATGATAATGAGGCATTCTCCTTGCGGTTCATTTTCGGATTCTTGGAATTATTCCAGAATACCTCTAGAGTTTTGCGCGCTTGTGTTCTAGATTCTTGTGCGAGGATCATAACCCTTTCTTCAGAATCTTCTCCGTTATGTCTCTGCGTCCTATGCGTGCCTAGTGGAGTGTTTGGTTTACGTTTGCCGACTAGGTGTTTTTTTATACGTACGCAGAGTGGTCTGCCCGTTTCGCTAACGTACTCGTCCTCGCACGCTTTACAAGAAATCAGATAGGTATCAGATAAAGCAGATTGTAATTTTCCATCAGTTAGATGCCGAGATAACGGAAAAGCACCTTGAAGATGCTTCCCTTTATCGTCCGCCGTCTGAGAAAAATTTAAAAGCCAATACCGAAAATTAAACAACGAATGGGCTAAACTGGCAAAAGTGGCTGGGTTAAAACCATCAGTTGTCTCAAGTCAAAGTTGACCAACCAACTTGTCCTGTCCTGTGCTTACTTATCAAAACCCATAAGGTAGTATTCAGCGATGATCTCGTGGCTACCTATCCATCGTTATTTAAGGTTAGACCTGAACAGCGACCAAAATTCTTTTACGATATATGGCAATGACAGCTCATCTATTGCAGACCAATGAGGTGCTAGAGTGCAAATGCTGTTGGCGCTTGATCGAACATACTTTATCCACTATGAGTTTTTGTTTCTCAACGGTCCAGCACAAGTCGTCTCTGTCTGAGGGCTCCATAGCACTATACTGTCGAAAATTAAATATTTCATTGACGATAATCTCTACCTAACCCAAAAACCCCTGGGAAATTATATGAATTTCTCAGAACTTATTCATCTGATTTTCTTAAATGTTCCGTCCGCGCTGGTTTTGCGGAAAACCCAGCATGATCTCCATTTTTCGAAGAGTTGCCGTTTAAGCCATTGTGTTTCCCTGGTGTGCCGAGATCAGCCTGGCCAGGTCTCCTTTAGGTCGTTTCCACCACAGGCAGTCGTCGCTCTTGTGGAACAGAAGAAAGTTTGCCACCATGCGACTTTGTTACCAAGTCTGTGGTGGATCGTTGTGTTTGCTTACTCTTAGCTAGGCTTCCTGATGGAAACGCCGGACACCTTCTCAGCTTGGGAGACCCTGCAGGAGGAATGAATTCTCCACCGTACATCACAACCCGATACCCAGAAACACCTCCCAACCACGTTGAGGCAGGAAAGTGTTGAGAAGTTGACCCCGTTTCATTACTCGGTTAGTACACCCTAGTCCAAATAAAGACCCAATTCACGAAGGGAACCAAAAACCTACCCATTTAAAAACCTGGCAGTTTTATCTCCAAGAACAGAACACCATTATGTGAAATCACAACCATCGTATTTGAAGGACAAATAATGAAACCTCTCCTTAGTACAGCAACGACTTTTCGTAAGACTATTCTTTAGTGCCATTGTTTATTGTATGTTAGTCCTTTGAATCCGTACAACGTTACATTTGTTGATTCCAATTATCTTTCTATGTTTCTGACAATGCTTTCTCATAAGGAAAGGAAGTACCAGAAAGGTGACAGACTAAGTGCGAAAGATTAGAGCAAAATTATGAATGCTTTGCATAACCATGAGAAGCAAGCTCTCATATGCACCTTACAGAATTTTGATTTCATCTGGTGAATAATCGCAAACGATTGCAGACGTCACATGATTATGTGGTTCATTCCGATTAAATTCCTTAAGAATGAACATACTGAATTCTTGACATAAGAGTAATTTCACCATCCACGTTGAACTGATTCAACGTCTTGTCACAGCAAAGGTTATCGTCACATTCCAAAACGAAAAAAAAAACAAATGCAGCAAGTTGAACTTCATAGGGGAAGATTATTTCCAAAAAGTTTTTATTTGGATGACTGCGACGACATGAAATGGTAAAACGCACAGAGTAGCTGATGAAAGAAAAAACAGGAGTCATTTTCCGTGATTTTCGAAAATATGTTGCTCCACTGTCAGGAAACATTAATAAGACGTAAAATCTTTGCATAAGATGCTATTGCTTAGGATAACATTTTCCATTAGTTAGTACTTGTTTAATGCAATTCAGCGATTTTTCGCCTTCATGTGCATTTGCAGTGCCCGCTTAGGTATCTTCGTAGACTTTATCGAAGTTTACCGAAAATACTCAGGCGTTTTAGCTTAACCTTTGTCTCGATTACGCAGAGAGAGATCGACAGTGTACAACTTCATCTACAGTACTCTACTAGATTTCTAATAATTTTCACTATGCTATTACATTAAATAAGCCTGGACAATAAGTTGGCTGAGAGCCATGGAAAAGGATTGCAAGATAGGTCATCACAGAATACATCTCACATCTTGTAAATTAAGTTATGCATCTGGATGTGTCCAAAATCCTGCACATACATGACATAAAATTTTGCTTCAATGTGGGTTCTAGGTAGACAAGTGTTCGCCGACATCCTTTAAATCGCAAGGTAAGCACATAGTTAGAAGAGTTGTCGTGAGAGGTGATCACTGATCACTCTGAACCAAGACGAACTTTAGAACGTCTTTCAAAGTATATCATGCACTAGTTTCCCACATTTTGAGTTGTATGTTAAGAAAACCACAAATGGACCATTATGTTGTGAAAAAAGACAAAAATTTTCTAAAAAAAAACAGCATCTGTTGGCTCCTGTAGGTGTGGAGCGAAGCCAAAGTAAATACTGAACGCATCGAAAGGTTAGTTCAATAACTAGTGCTGTCTATAGACGTGATTACTATGGCTGCGATTTAAAAAAAAGATACTATGGGCATTGCTAAGACGAAGGGGCTTAATAAAGTTTAAAAAATTAGCTGAATTCTAACAATGCAGGATTATTGGTTGTCTGAGTATCATATCAAAATCTTAATGAATTAATAGTATATGCTAAGGTTTCAAAAATCGTGATGTCGACTTACATATTATGAAAAGAACAGATAACTTATCTCGTTTTCACTGTTCTAAAGCAAATGTCCAAAATTGCCCTAATGATTTACAGGAAGTGACGGAAATGTCTCTCATCCTACTTGAGAACAATCTAGAGCGTACGAGAAGGCTTGTCCGCAGGGACAAATTCGAGTAGTACGGTAACCAAAAAGCTCACAAATTCCGACTGCTGGAAGCATGACTTATTATATTATTTGCCCATGGTCGTCGAGTAACATGACCGAACAATAGTAAAGGCTCCATTTATCCCTATCTTTCACCAGAACTTCTCATTAGATTTTGGCTCCCTAATGAAAATGAGCAGCATCGCATTTCGCGTATATTTTTTTAACAGCGTTTTTCAATTGGGTAGTCAGTGGTTGTTCGTCAGGTTGGGTTATGCCATAGGTTTATCTCAGGTGGACTATCAGTGCAAATTCCAACTTTCTACAACAACTTTCAACATATACTCACCCGTAATACGCATGTAAAATGACGAAGTTACAGTGTTTCAATTTTCTTAGTTCGCATAGTGTTTCTCTCAGTTTTAACTGCATATTAAAGGCCATATTTATTAATACTGTATTCGCCAACTCTTCACTCGAAAGTACTATTTGAAGAAAAAAAAGAATAAGAATCTTTTTAAGTAAAATGAACGCTTCAATTTTCGTCCTTTTCCTTAGAAATTGCATAAGAATTGGTTCCTACCACGGAGATATCCCAGAGAAAACCGTTTTAGCCGGATTTTGGAAGTTTGGAAGAAACTGATGGCATTTCCATAAACAAATCGGAATTCAGAAATAATTTTTCGAGCTTGTCATCATTGCAGTCACAACATACTGAATCATCTTCCATGGTTATAAATGCGAGTAATCGGAGAGCCAGGGAACCATGAAGGTCATTTTTCTCATTTACATTACCGTAGTGGTTGCCTCGTACAATTCGGCACAATATCCTCCACAGAAATATCCTATTCCATATGGTGCCCCATATGGCGAATATGAACCACACCCTCAACCGTATTACTATCCGAAATGGGTAAGCAACATTTTCTTCAAAGTTTGTTATGCCTGAGGTTCTATTTTATGTAAGGAAGCCTCTGTGCTGTGAAAGCACGTAGCTCTCGACAAATATCTATTAAGAAATTTTTCTCCAGAAAGCGAAAGGATCGAAATATATAACGCTTTTGATTTTGCAGTATAACCACAAGTATTCTTCATCCAGTTCAACAGGTTACTATGACTGTTGGTGGAACGATGATTCTTACGAGAGCCATGAACGAAAATCAAAAAGTAAGTGTGAAGACGTATTCCCACACGTCCCTATGATGAAGTTCACATATCTGTGTGGTAAAAATGAGGAAATTCTGGTGGGTAGAAAAATAAACGGTAGGAGGAATGGTAAAAGAGACCTTAATTTTCTTCCAGAGGTTGAAGGAAACAGAGTGAAGCGTTCCACGCTGATCAATTCCTTAGCAATGTGGGGTGGAGTGCACTCCATTGTCTTTCGCAGCGATAAAGTAATGCATATTCTGCTAATAAAATCACTTTTGGAGCCGTGACGACATGTCAAGTCAGTGCATTTATTCCTCAAGACAATTCTGGCGTAATTCTCCAACTCCGAACAATTGGGTACTTGGTGTACCAGGATCAGGGAATGGAAACTATGGCCATGCGACTATGTTAGGGTCCTCTCCAACACAACGCTACACGTGACTTCGCCTTTTTTTCTCTTCAGTAATCATCTAAAATAGAAAAACACTTTGCCGACTGACACAAAATACGTTTCAAATGCACATTTTTGTGATGTGGAATGTTTCTTTTAGGATGTTCACGTTGCCACACAATTAAAGTCCTCAGAGATGGTTTCAAGTGGTCTGTTAGCATCCGGTACCAAATTGGACTTTCATACTAAAGCACTTGTGTTTTTTCATTTTTTTCAATTTTCAAAAAAAACACGGATTAAGAAGCAAAAAAATATTATTTATTAGATATAATACCCTATCAAATGGTTGTGCGCAAGCGATTATTTCATGTCCAAAATCAGCCGTATTTGGCATTACATCCGTATTGAGAAATGATCTCAAAAACACGGTAAATTCTTAAACAGAAATTAAACTTACTTCTTAAAAAGTGCTAGTTTAGCTAAGTGTATGTAAACGTCCTCATTTAGACCTTAGCTGTTGGCATGGGTAATGAAGTGGTAGCGCAGTGTGGCCACGACCGAAAGTATGTTTTCAGCGAAACGACTTTCATTTAATACTTTCTTTGCTGTCTCTCCTTTATTCTGTGTGTCATATTCTAAAAATTAGTCATTTTTAATCATTATCGTTTTATACTCAATAGAATTGAGACCATTAGTTTCCTTTTTAGATGGCACACCAGTTCGTTGACCATGAAAGATGTGACAGTTCACACAGTCGACTGTATTGAAAGTGAGCTTGTATAACGTATTTAAAAATCTTAAGGACACACTTTATAGTATGCTTTAAGCTTATACAACTTTATAGGACGGACCTAGCATTGTCTTTCCGGACAATACAGTTGCATTATTCAAATGGGCACCACAGTTTGACCAATTAGCGAGTCTAGTGTTAAACCATCCTCCCAACGGTTTACCGCCTCATCGTGACTGGGAGGTGTTCCTCGGTGTCGTCCTGCGATGTACAGCGAGGAATTCATCCCATGGCAAGGTCTCCCAAGCTGAGAAGGAGTACGGCGTTTCCATCAGGAAACCTAGCTAACAGTAAACCAATACCAGGATCCACCACCGTCCTGTTATCAAAGTCGCATAGTGGGAAACCTCCTTCTGATCCACAGGGGCTGCGACTGCTTGTGGTGGTGAAGACCTGGGGCTGACTTTGGCCAGACTGACTTCGGGACTCCAAGGAACCATAATAGCTTAACCAGCAGATCTCCTAAAAACGGAGATTATGCTGGCGCCCGCACAACCAGTGGGGACGGGTCATTCAAGTATCAAGTGTTAAACCATACTTTCGTTATATTGTGACGATTTATTTCATTTTACTTTGCTTTATTCTACACAACTCGTCCTTATATCTACTGTGCAAATACTAGTACTTTCTTCATCTAATTTGTTCCCCTACATCAATTTTTCAAGGCCTCCCAACTTCTTCATGCTGGTGCGGTGGCTTCTAAAGGACAGTGGTCTTAACGTCGTTGAATGCTGCTAGAGTGGAACACTCCTGGGGTCCTGGAATACCCCGGCTATAGTGTTCACACTTTGCTTCCAGGAATAAACCTAAACCTTTTCGCAGACATCTGGCACCAACTTAGTGATCTTGGAGAGATGAGAGGCCTGGTGAGCCCAAAGCTGGATTGAACCAGCACCGTCGTCGTCATCAAGAGCTTCACTACTACTGCACTATCAGTTACTCTGACGACTCGTCTAAATATAAACAAGACATAAACTACATTAATTACAAAAAACACCGAATTTTTCGCTCACTTTTGAAAGTTCAAAGCTATGTGAAACGATGAACAAAAGTGTGAAGGTATTTTACATATTACAAACCGATATATTATTAAGGAGTAATGCTTCCAGTGTTACGGAGAGCAGAACATCTGCAAGCGAACAGCAATGAAAATATTGTTATGAATGACGAGAGAGGAGATGGCTCTGGCGATGCCGACTACGATTCCCTTAACCAGATTCAAGCTCCTTTAGATGATAGATGAAGTTTCATATTATTCAAACAATAAAAATTTTCCCATGGCCGTGAGTATCATAACTTAAAGAATGGGTGACGATTGTGATTTCCAAAATGTTATAATTATATGAAAATACTAAGTTATCCTATATGTACGTTAGATGATATTTTACCTATAAAATATTAATTCAGAAAACTTTTAATTAGTCACGTCATCATTCACAACAGTTTCTCTTCCCATTGTGGTTAAAAGGTGTTCCTGGATGTCAAACTGTGATGTGGATCTGTGGGTTCAACTCCTCAGCAGGGACACCCAATCAAGAAGAAAGTCCAAAATCTCTGTCTGAAATACTAGGTAAAAGCAATTTAGTGCCGAGCACCACGCACCACTCTATCCACACAACAACAGTGAATAATTGGCAACCAATAGCGATTTATCTACCTTCTTACTGTTTGTTTAAGAACAGAACGTTTCGCAACAAAATGCGGTGCTTTTCATGCAACCTGTGCAAGCAATGTCCACTCAGATGCTTCGGTGCACGACAAGAGCGAATGGAGACTTACTGGCGACTGCTTGAGTTACATAATGATTAGAAAGTTCCGACAAAAAAATTTAGGACGAGTATTTATGGGTGTATCAATACCCATTAAGGCACATGTGGCGCAGTGGTTGGAGGTGCCTTGCAACAATACATGTGGAATCGATCCTCGCGTCCACGGCCCACCAAGCCTTCCATCCCCCCAAAGTCGGTAGATTGGTACCAGACTTGTTTGGGAGGATAGCATCACTTGTTCGATACATCGGTAGGCCACCGTGAGTCATTGTAAAGGCCATTCATTCACATTCACTATGGATTCAATCACATCCAAAAGCTGCTTAATGAAGTCGAATGCATGGTGCATCTCTAACGGATTGATCAACGCTGACAGCTTTATCCTTCTTTTAGCTTTATTCCAAGAAATAGCCAATGTGCTTCTGTTTTTGCTTATTTCCAAAAAGGATTTTGTGAATGTTTCAATCACGATAGATGAACGAGCACCCCGTGATAAGGCGCCAATCACTTCAGGAAATATGTTCCTGATGAACGACGTGATTTTTCCATCCTTCACTGCGCTTTTTAAGCAGTATTTTTGCTCTTTCTCACGAAGATAATGATGCATCTTTGAAGATGAAGACGTGGTGTAGCCTTTCATTATCGCGTTTACCTTTCATCCCAGAGATTTTATACCTCGCAACGCTGAAGTACGCTAGAAAGACGGAAGAAATTTACCGTCGAGGTGTAACTTCGACAGCAATCGGTTAGAGTTCTTGTGCAGTATTAATATGGTCTCTAAAAACAAGTACTGACACCTGTCTTTCGCTATGGCATTGTTATCAAGTTTTTCATAATCAACAAAGGTCTGTCGAAAACTCGCATGACTTACTTTATTACTTTTACTTTACTATGTTACTTTTTGAATGTGATCTATTCAAGAAGATTATTATCAGGCCACTCAAGTAAATGGAATTCGCCTAAATTTTTTGAGACGCACAGAGAATGACTACTGAGCTTCACTTTATTTTGGTCTGTCTCGAAAAATTACATAGTGGCACTGTGTTTGTTTTGAAAGTATCTTGATTAAGAAAGTAAAAGTGGTAGATAGCATACAGGCAGTACAACCAAATATAGGCAATAAAGCTCTAGAGTTCTTTGTCAGATACAAGCTTTATTTGGCGCGGTTCTCGCAAATATAAGCCCTTTCTAAAAACGGAAAATGTTACCACTTCCTTTTCCCTATCGCTTCTCATCCCTCTGCTTTTAATAGCATATAATAGCATTAATAGAGACCTATAGGTCTCTCAGCAGTTCGTTCATTTGGCACGACGGCCAGCAGTGAAGTGATGTTATTTCATCTCGAAAAATGGATTTTCGGACAAGAGATGCGCAGCAGGTTATCGCTTCTATTCTCGTTTTAGCCTTCGAAATGATTCAGGAATAAATAAACTATTATGGAAACTCGAAAAATTTAAAAATTTGTGAAATTGAAACAAAAAGATGACTAGGTTATAAAGAACGATATAATATAACTCTGGAAACGACTGCTAGGTGACTGACTAAACCGACGCCACTGTTATCCTTGAAGAAGTGCCCTTAAGTGATAAAGGTCTAGTCATTCAAATTTCATTAGCTGTTTTGATCCACAAAGGAACCAAATTGATTTGAAGTCAAGGCGAAAATCGGTTTTAAAGGCTGAAAACGCATCCACTTCATATCCTTTGTGTGATGTTCCAATCTAGCAACGACTACATCCAGTTCAGCACAAGATTTCATTGCTTCTGATTGCATGCTTCCGCTGTTAGGAATGTTGGGGGAGTGAGATGATGGGCTCCGCATCTCTTGATTTGGCCAGCTGTTTTCTAATCATCATTTCTAGGAATTCCTCTCCCATTATGAATCAGAGGAAAGTTTGTTTCGCTATTAGCGATCTCGCATAATTTTAGCAATCTCGATAGTTTGACTTCCGATTGAATCGATTCAACTTCTTACCGCAGTGTTTTTTGACTACCTACATCATTCGTCGCACTTAGTCCAATGAACCACAGGTCGACTCATTATTATTATTAATTATTATTATTTATCATTATTTATTATTTATTATTATTATCACTATTATCATTATTATTACTACCATTAATATTATTAACTGTCATTATTATTATTAAATATTATTATTTATTAATTACTTTATTATTACTATTATCATTATTATCACTAATGTTATTATTATTGTGTCGTTTTCTTGTTCAGCAATCGCGAGGTTTTTAAACAGCATACATTTACTTCCATAAAAACACAATACAATACAACGCTAGCTGACGTTTCGGCAGTATCGCCTTCTTCAGAGCCGCTTTTTCGTGACTTCCAATGAGGAAGTTTAGAACAGCTGATTATAGTCGCATGTGGTTGACGACGATGAGTCGTCAACCACATNTTATTATTGTGTCGTTTTCTTGTTCAGCAATCGCGAGGTTTTTAAACAGCATACATTTACTTCCATAAAAACACAATACAATACAACGCTAGCTGACGTTTCGGCAGTATCGCCTTCTTCAGAGCCGCTTTTTCGTGACTTCCAATGAGGAAGTTTAGAACAGCTGATTATAGTCGCATGTGGTTGACGACTCATCGTCGTCAACCACATGCGACTATAATCAGCTGTTCTAAACTTCCTCATTGGAAGTCACGAAAAAGCGGCTCTGAAGAAGGCGATACTGCCGAAACGTCAGCTAGCGTTGTATTGTATTGTGTTTTTATGGAAGTAAATGTATGCT